AGCATAGCTCCCATATGGTCGAACATAACTCCCGAAGTCCCTATCTCAAGTACGCTTCCTCGAGATAGGTACTTGAACGTCGTAAACATGGTCCAACGAAGGCTCCCAAGGGACTGGAATAGCGTGAAGATATTGTCTGCGCGATAGGGACTAGAACATCCGGGAACGTGGCTGGTCCGGAGCAGAGATAAGCAGGTCAGGCCCAGGAATGGGTACGTAAGATAACTCTAGAAGTTACTATCCAACGGACATGTCTGCGAGATAGGGACTGAGCGGTACGTAACATAACCCTAGAAGTCACTCTCTAACGGACATGTCTGCGAGATGAGGACTTCAACGTCCGGGTACGTGGCTGGTCAGGAGCAGAGATAAGCCGATCAGGTCCCGGAACGGTAAGTTTATCTCCCGCGCATCGCTCCCATATGGTCGAACATAACTCCAGAAGTCCCTATCTTAAGTATGCTTCCTCGAGATAGGTACTTGAACGACGGCTGCGCTGTCGGTGTGTAGCTGGAGCTTCGTTTCCAAGCCCCATCCTCTCAACACCTCTTGCAGGGAGATGCCAATCGAAACTCCTTTGACAATGCTGTAAAACTCAGCTTCGCCACTGCTAAGCCTGACGGTACTCTGCAAGGTGCTCAAGGTCTTCACAGTGTGTCTGCCCAGACACCCAACTAGTCCGCTAGTGGAGCGTCGTGTCAGCAAACACCCCGCAAAGTCCGAATCCACATACATGTGAATCGTGTCAGCGAACTTCTGGGGATGGTATGTGAGCAACACACGTGGTTTGCCTTTCAGGAAGCGCACTAAGCGTTTCAGTTCCTGAAAGTCACATTCTTTGGGTTCATGCATTCGTCTTGACAAACATTTCACACTTTCAGCGATGTCTGGCCTGTCCTGCACTACATAGGATGCACGCATCGCCAATGACCGGAAGAAACTTACACGGTCAGGTGATATGGTGGCTGAAGTCATCTTCAGCTGCGCGTCTGCTGCAGACATCTTCTGTGATGGAGTCCTCGATGGCTTGCAACTATCGAGCTCTAAGTCCCGAACCATTTGATCCACGTGACGAGGATCGGCCTCATAGGATACGGAACCGTCCTGCTCGCTGTAGGTCACAATTCGATTCAACACAGAGAACTGCTGCTTGGGTTCTCCAGGGCCTATTGCTCCATCGATTCTCAGCTCGTATTTCTTTCGAAGCGTTTGTTCTAAGAACTGTTGGCCAGATTCATCGGCGAGCGCTACAAAATCACCACCGTGTACTAATACGCGGATATCCTTGGCAGCATGGTAGAAGCACGAAGGCTAAGCTGGGTTCTTGACGAAGCCTGCAGCCAGCAACACTTCTGTGTAGCTTCTCTGCCAGATTGCCGAAGCATCTCTGGCGCCGTACATGCTACGCAGCAGTCTGCCGCAGTAGCCAGGCGTACGGTCGCCTTCAGGCAATTCCACGAAAACGTCCCTTTCTGCCTCCCCATAAAAATGAGCGCGAGAGATGTCAAGGAGCTTCACTTTCAAGGGAGATGAAAGCTTTGACTTCCTCAACGTCGCCATCAGAGACAGAAGAATCTTAAGAGATTCGAGCGGTGGCATCGCAGAAAACGATGCATACTCAGGGATGTGTTCTGCGTTCTTGGCCCTTTTGACTTCACGGCAAACAAGTCGTGAACGGTAGTTTGGATGTTCATTGTCGCCTTTATTCCGGTCGATCCATTTCATGCTGATGATGGGCTTTCCTGCTCTTTGGGCTTCTTTGGTCGGAACTTTGGCGTAAATCTGTTGACGATGTACCCATGCAAGTTCCTCTCGGCGAGCTTCCTTCACCTTCTCAACGTCGAGCTCGGCTCCAGTGCGCGCATCGATCACTGGCTCAGCGATGTGCTCGTCGCTGTCTGGAAGATGATTGTAGTATTCTTCTTCTTCATTGATCACGAGGCCCGCGTCAGGTACGGGGTTGTGGTCAAAAGACTGAACTTCACCATCTCTTTCCAACTGCTGTCTGATTCCCACCAAAATGGCGTGAACCAACCGTGGCGGGTACACCTGGGCGGCACGAGCTCTGCCGTCGACCAGATGCACGTGTCTGCGCCAAGTTCGGCCATCTTTGTTTGAACAAGTTCCATTCAAGATTCCCGCGAGGACTGGTGAGTTGGTTAGCCAACGGGTCTGCTTCTTAACCAGTCCTGGACCTTGGCTGTCTGAGGCAGCCATGCCCCAACGACACATTGGGCCGGCTACTTCAGAGACTCTTGGGCCCTTTCGCAAAGATTGAATGGCACATTCCTCCCATGACATGGATCCGTCTGGGTGTTCATGATAGAAGTATCTTCCTGAATCCATTTGTCGCGATACGTCACTGCTGTTCGCAGATGTCTCTTCCCAGCAGCAAGCCTCTTGGCCCGCACTTCCTTCGTCACGTTGTTCCTGGCGTCCACCAAGTTCTGAAGCTTGGAGAATGGACCGCAAGGCGGTGATCCACCCAGGAACTCAGGTTGCTCATGTTCGATGAGCTGCATCAGATCTTGCACACGTGAGTCCTTGCTCAGGTCCCAATGTAGACCGTCTCCGCGTTGAGTAGAAAGGTCAATTGAGAATCCCGGCGCTAGCCCCACAACTTGGGCTTGTGCTGCAACCCGTGGCGGCGAGAAGATTTCAGCCACCTTTCCTCTTGCCACGACCTCTCTTAGCAGCGAACACAGATGTAACATCTCTTGGTTCGACTCTTGCTGCCGTTCTCCAGCAGGCGCGGATCCTGCGACCACAGCTCCAGACGAAGCGTCCTGAGCTGGTCGATCCGTCGAACCCGATGCTGGCCCCCCAGCTTGTTGAGCCTGCGCATGAAGCTCTTCCACTTCAACTTGCGCTGTTCTCTTCTCGCCCTTCGGGACGGGAGATCCACCCTTTCTTCTCTTAGGGCTGTCCTCTCTCTCTACTTCTCTTCGTCTGATCTCTGAACCCGCTTCAGCATCAGCGAGCGGTTCACCAGCTGCCTCTCCTGCAGCCATCTCAACATCCAGTGGCACCCGTGGATGCAACACCAAAACCTCACCTTCAGCCTCCCCTCCTAGACCAGGAGGTGCTGGTGGCAGGGGTCCTGCGCCAGCCGCTGTTTCAGCTTGTCTCGGCCTTTTCCCGGCCTCCAATCTCTCTTTTGCGCGTTTGATTCTTTCTTTCCCTTCTGGTGTTTTGTCCGATTCAACTTGGATCCTTTGTCTGCACTCCGTGTTGCGCGCCCTGGTTGGAAGATCCAACAAGGCTGCTTCGCAGCCGGGGCAAAGAGGTGTTCGACCGAACCTTTCGAGGTCGGCCTTTGTCACGTACAAGCTTCGGGGAACAACTTCTTCACGGGCGGCCTCCCTCTTGGGATAGCCATTTCTGGAAGGTCTATTCGCAACCCCCCATGCTCTCTTTCCTGCAATCTCCATGGCAGTCCACGGAGTTCAGCAAAGTTCTCGTGCTGAAACTGATCGTCTGGCGGCCTCCTATGGATGGAGTGCCCTTTCATGATTCCACGTTGGGTCATGACAAACACATCAGAGTTGCGATTGCCGGCCCCTACATACACCCCGATTGAGATGCGTGGCGCTAAGTCATTCCGTCGGCACCCCCTCTGTTTGCACGAGGTCTGTACAGAATGCTTTCGCCGAACCTGACCAATGGGATTCGCCATTTCCTACCGTATGTTCTTTCGAACGCTGTTTTGCCGTCTGTTCCTACTCTGTACCGGGTGAGAAGAAACGCTGCGTGGCGTGGTAGCCATACCATCAACGGGCGGCTGGCTTCCACATTCCACCCCAGTTTTGTTTGCAGATCGCTCAAGAGAGCTCTGCACTGCCTTTTGATTTCTCTTACTCCTACCTCTATGTATCCGTTAGCTGCTGGGGTATCTACAGGGGTTTCCACTAGATGGATCTCTATATGGGTCTTGGTTTCCTTAACTCGTTGTTTAAGGGTTACCAGAGCCGGCTCGCCATCACTCTTTAAGAGTACTTTAGTGAAACCGGCATCGTCCAAAACACCCCCCAGCCATGCTGTAGCAAACGGATCATCGCCCTTTTTCGGTACCACGGACGCCCAGAAGCGTTTGGTCTTGTGGCATTTTACCACAATGCATGGCAGTGTCGCTTCGGTGTTCTGGTTCATGTAAAAGTAGTCAAGGGACAGGGTTGGCATTTGTGTATCATCCTCATCGAGCTCACGGCTTGGGTGTCTGTCAGCTGTTGCGCGCTCTTTTGCAATGAAGACACCAGCTGCGATGAACCACACGCCCTGTGGCTTCATGTTCGTCCACCTCAGCTTGTGTAGGCTGATGCGGTTCTCTCTTGATGATCGCCTGTCTCTGTTCCTCACCAATTTGCATATCAACTTGCTCTTCCGTCGCTTCATCATCTGTCCCTGCTCCAGCTGAAGCGGCTGGAACATCTGCATCCGCCACGCCATCTCCTCCAGCTGAACCAGCCGGAGAATCGCCTACGGCGTTGATTTGCGGCCTTACTCCATGCTTGGATGCCGCCTGAAAGGTGGCACCCAGTAGTCCATCACATAGATCCCACGGCGATTGCACACTACTGGCATCTCATGGCCATAGGTCTGAATCAACTCCTTCATTGCCTTGGCATAGGCTTTGCCTGCCTCAGTGTTCCTTGGAATCAATCGTCTAGATTGTGGCCCCAAAGCGATGTGGTAATGCTTTGCCACGTCGGATCCAGCAAGTAGCGGGCGATGCACAGACTCGGCAGTCCAAAGGGATCTCAATACCGTTCTTGTCTGTTCCACTCAAAGTCACACCGCCCTGGTCTTGGATGGCTTCGCCATTCGCCGCTTTGTAGTTTGCACCATTGGGCTCATTTCGTGGATAGCCCTTCGCAAAGTCGGCAGGCACTGCAGTGATCGCAGCACCCGTGTCCAGGTTCAGCTCGGCATACTGCCAGCCTTCCCAGGCACCATCGGCTCCAAAGCTGCAAACTGTAGCCGGGGCCGCGCCAAACCCTCCATCAGGGCCTCCACTTCCATGTTGATCACGTGGTTTATCTGGTGGACTGAAGTCATCAATCTCAAAATCCTCATTGTCATCCTCCTCTTTCCAGTTGGGATTCTCCTTAAGCACTAAAGGCTCACGGTTCAAACGCGCCATCTTCCTTGCATGGTTCCTGGCTCGATTCCTCTTCTGCCTGTACTGCATGGGTCGCACCCTCTTGTCCTTCTGCTTCTTGTTGGGGTCACTGTTCAACAGCATTCGCTCTTCTTGTGGGAACTGGCTGAAGTCGTTTCTCTCTCGCCCCCCAAATGGAGTCACAGTCGTGCCACCAGCTTTGCCCACAACCACGGTTTCCACACCACAGTTCAGGTTGTCCTCATCAATGCGTTCGGGGCCATGAGCGCTTTCAGGATTGTCATAGCGCTCATGCCATTGCAAGTCGAGCCTCTGGCGCTCGATTGCCCTCTCCTTCGTCCCCTGTTTTCTGTGGACGATCGCTCTTCTCCTCTGCCGCACATTTCTCCAAGCAACATTGTGGGGCACGCCCTTCTCGATCTCGGCATGGTACCTAGAGTCGTGGAATGTGAAGTCATTGATGTTTTCACTGGTGATAGGTGGCGCTCGTGGGGGTCGTTTGGCCAAAGCCGACATCATAGCCTTGGCTTTTGCCTTCGCCTCAGGATCCTCCATCGAATCCGGTTGCAACATCAGCTGTGTTCCCAAGGCTGCCTTCAACATGGCGATCATTCTTGACCCACTTGTGCTTGCCACTGCACTGGCTCTCTTTGGCGGTGGTCCCTTGGGTTCCGGCGGTTTCCAACCAGGTGGTGGTCCTTCTGGAGTGTTTGGTGGCCATCCACCGTAAAGATCAGGACTTGGTGAAGGTGATCCCGCCGGTGTCCCAGGCGACTTTGCCATAGGCACCGCACGCGATCCATGATACAATGACGAGGCCTGTTCCTCATTCACCGATCCCGGCTGAACCAGCTGAGATGGTTGAGGTTCAGCTCCGTCGTCGGAACCATAATCCACGTCGCTTTCTAGACCACGATCCATGGCCTCATTCTCAGTGATGTGCCTAGGATCTTCCCAACTGTCGCTTTCATCATCGTCCAAACAGTACAAGGTCAATCCATAGGCTGCAGCTTCACCGGTATCCTCGGCTTCAGCTGCGTCCCAATCCTCAGCTTCTGGCTCTTCTCCTTCCTGTTCCATGTTGTTCACATTCTTCTTGGGCTTTCCGCCCTTGGACTTACCTGGCTTGCCTTTTCCTTTGCCCTTGTCGACGGGTTTCTTGTCGTTGCCTTTGCCTTTGCCCTTCTCCTTTGGTCCTCCAGCTGCCCAGCACTCAGCTCGAATGTGACCAGGACGGCCACAATTAAAGCATGTTTTCTTGGCCTGCTCACCCTTCCCTGGTTGCCCTTTAGCATTCTCTTTACCCTTTCCTTTTTGCTCCCCACATCCATGGGGTCATCGGGTCGTCCATGGGGATCGCCAGGGCCTTGTGAGTTGACCACCTTGATGCGATTGCCAGTCGAGTGTTCAACATAGGATTGAATCTCACCCAACATTGCATCGAACGTCCGAAACCGATCGCGGTTGAGGACCAAGTGCCGTTCCAGCTCGGCTGGAACGAGCCGTTCGATCACATTAACTTTGATGTCCTCCGCAAGTACTGGTCTGTTTCCCGATGCGTCCTTGCGACGCTCGTACAACCTAATGGAATCCAAAAGACGTTCCAAGTTCGAAGGCAAATCCTCCATCTTAGACCGTGAAGGCGTAAGAATGGAGTTCAGCAGCGCCCTCCAGTACTGGGGTCGTACCTTCTGGTGAGCCGTCGCCAGCTCTCCAGTCCGCACTCGTTTGCATTGAGTACTATGTCGAAAGGCTCCTTGTCAGTGAGCATTAGCAAAGCATCCCAAAGCTCTTTGCTCAGCTCGTGGATGTTGTCAATCCTATCGAGCTCGTCAGCTGCATGGCCATATGTTGTGTCCATCATGGCCTTTGTGATCGCTTGATCACATTCTTCACTCCACACCAATACTTCGCGGAGATCTTTTCGAATGCTCACTAGGTATGATGTGGTTTTGATTTTCCAAGGGAGGAATTTTTCAATATCACCAGAGAATTTTTCCGGTTTGCCCAGACCTTTGTTATCTACAAGCTTCACTTGCTCCTTGGACTTCATGGCCTCAAGGAGTTCTCTCTGGGCAACCAGCAAGTCGGCCAGCGCCGAACCTACTCCGGCCGAACCGGCTGGAGAGGTTGGTGCTGCCAGCTGCTGCACTGTTTGTGTCAGTTCTGTCTCCCTTTGCCTCAGCCTCCCACCTCCGTTTGGAGGTCTTGGAGCGTCTGCAGCAGTTGCTGCTGATCCATCCCTCCACCAACCAGCTCTAGTGACCAATGGGCTCAGCAACCAAAGTCCTAGGAGCTTAGAGCTCCGCTACCATGAACAGAAATTATGTAACGCAATATTTTCCTTGAGCCTTGAGCCAAACATGTCAACCAATTAGGCACACCTTACATCTAATCAGAAGCGTTATATTCATTATAAATCATTGTTTTCGCTTCCTACTTGCGGGGCGAGAGCAGTTGAAAGGGACTTGGAGATTCGACGACTGAGCGTGGGTTCGTTGATGCACCGTACCAGCCCTCACACCCTAGCCCCCGCCGATCACCATTTGCCAACAAGAAGCCGTTCACCTGTCCACAAAGGAGTAAGCTCGCCAGGTTCATTCTACGAAATACATGAGTTGGGAATCCAAGATCGATTGGCAGCACCCAGAGTCAGATACAAATGACAATGGAAAAGATAAATTCTTAGATATGATACGAAACAAAGCAAAATACGATATCTGCTGTAACTGAACACGTCCTTGGAGGCTTCCACGATGCCAGACGGTTGAGTAAAGAACTACGTCCTCAATCGGAAAACCTATCTTGAGCTGTGCGTCGAAAATCCGACCTCAGCCGTCAGAAACGGATCTCCAGAGCTTCTAGTAGCGTCCTTGCTCCTAGTAGAAATGCCTTTGTTACTAGTAGCTTCTTGCTCCTAGTAGTATGGCCAGGAGCTACT